AACTTCTGGCTCCGTCCCTGTAAATGAATCTGAAAGGTCATCAAAAAATTGTTCCATATCTTTCAACTCTCCTTCTGCCATAAGTTTTAACCTAAACAGGGAAAGAAAAACCACATTTTTAAAAAGCGTAATAATAATATTCATCAAATAAAATATTCTTTTATTTCAGGTATGGATGAGTAAACACAAAAAGAACCAAGTGGCAGCTCACTCAGTAGGCTCAGAAAGTTTATATACTCATGAGTCAAATAAAAGCGTATTAAATATTAACAATAAGCCAAATAATAATCAGGTTTGGGTGTTGTGTTTTTTTTTTTTTCCCTCCTTTTTAAACACTTCTTTTAATAAAGCAAACCATTAGAAAACTGTTATTCTTTTAACAAAACAATTTGGAACCCAAAGTAGACTGATTTTTAAAAACTGTTGCTGTTAGCGAGTTAGCCGAAACAGATCTTTTGTATCACAGAAACTTTAAAACAGATGGCTTTGATATCTGCTTATGTTTAGGAGAACTGAGAAAACTGTAGAAGTGCATTTCTGCTCCGAACGTATTTTAAGCTTTACGTTTACACACTTCATAGCTGCCGATAACCCAGACCGTGCATGCAGCAGCTTCAGCATTTTGCACATCAGTAGTGGTCGTGGTAGCAATGTTTTCACGGTTCCAACACAAAATACAGAAACTACGGGATCAGCCGAGCAAGGCGGGCAGCTCCTGAGCCCCCAGCAGCGGGGAAGCCACCTCCCCCCGGTCGCAGCGACCCGGCTGAAGGGTTTTCTGAGGGCGGGAGGGGCGGCGCGGTCCCGGCGCCCACCTGATGTGCACGGAGCTGGCCAGGTGCGGGCAGGACTCCTCGATGGCCTTGCGCAGTCGCGACAGCGGCATGTCAGGGCCCTGGGGAGGAGAGCGACACGTCGCGACAGGCCACAAGGCAAAGCGAGCCCCTTGGGATCGCCCTCCCCTCCATCCCTCCCCCTCAGGCCCGACCTGCAGCAGCGGCAGCAGCAGCCGGTTGAGCCGCCGCCGCTCCAACAGGCCGAGCTGCGCGCCGGCGCGGCCCAGCTCGCTCAGGAGCACCAGCAGCGCCATCTTGTAGGGGGTCACCCAGTCCTTGATGCCGAAGACGTTGGCGTGCACCACGCCGTTCGTCATCATCGGGTTAAAGTAGAGACTTTCATGCACGCTCGCCATGGCGGGCCCCGGCGGCTGCCGCCCCGTCGCCCGGGAAACCGGGCTCGGCTGCCAGCCAATCGCCGCCGCCAGTTGCCATCACGCGGGCCGCGCCGCGGCCAATCAGAAGGCGGGTGCGTGCGCCGCCACAGAGGGGCCGGCTGGCGGCTCGGGTCCCGGAGAGACGTTCCGGGGAGAAAAGGATCCGTGCTGCTCCCCTACGCCGTGACCCTCGTGAGGGCGTGGGGACCCCCGCGGCCCTTCCCTTCGTGGATGTGCCACAGCCCTCGGGGGAAGGCGTGACAGCCGCCGCCATTGTCCTGGGAGAGTCCAGCCCCGCGCGTCCGGGCAAGGAGAGCCACGCTGAGGGGCCTGAGGCATCGCAGGGCGAGGACATGGTGCTTCGCCGCAGCCGGTTGTGGAAGGGGCCATGAGGGGATTTCCGGGGCCACACGAGGATTTCTGGGGTCGTGAGGGGATTTCTGGGGCCATACGGGGGGCTGATCCGCACCCTGAGGCGAGTGCTGCCCTGGTGCACCAGAGAACGCCACAGAGCAAACTCGCTCCTGTTAGATTGGGCTTCTTGAAAATTAACTGTGATGCGATGAAGATATTTCCACACATAAGTTTTTATTTTCTCAATGATTTCTTAAAGTACTTCGTTAAGGTATCACACACCCAAAGAAGATACTCCAATTATTATAATAGTTCTAATTTTTGTACGTGAGAGTGAAACAAAACTCAGTATTATTATACATGTACATGTCCTCTGGGATTTCAGTTGGGTTCCTCCTGATTCATGCCTGGGAGTGGTGAGAGGAGGAGGAGGCGAATCAAGTGGGGAGTAATTTTCTAGAACACATTTAAGAAACTTAATGTTGTATTTAGTTGTTGCTAGCATGATAGCTTTCCTAGCCCTCAATGAACTAACTACTCATTGAACTATATCTGAATGTGAAACCCAGGCCATAACTACAGCTATTGTGTTATAAAGGTCAATTCACTGACATTTCCTGAAAATAAAGTATGACAGCTTGGGCGGAAACACTGAGATGGTGGAGCGGCTTTGTGGGGAGGGGCAGGAGATGAGATAAAGGCCGGGCTGCAGCCAGCTTGTGCAGAACTTGGAGGGAAAAGGAAGTAACACACATCTGGTTCTGACATTTCTGTGTAATACTCTGAAGCCAACATGTGAACTCTGCTGACAATCCTTCAGTGTGTGGCATAGAGAAGATTTAGAATATGCTTTTCATATACTCACATGCCTAAAATACAGCCCTCTAAATAGGCAGCAAGAGATTATTTTGGTCATATTAAGTTCAAAATTAGGTAATGCAATTGAGAAAGTCATCTTTTATCTTACCAAAACTAGGCTCAAGCCCAAGTAACTTGCCTGAGTTTATGAGGTATGAAATAACTACTGTCTGGGTTTGGGGATATTTAGTGCAATGCTGAATCTGTTGAATCAAGTCTGTAATATGAAAACCTTCTCAAAGGTAATTCCACAGTACTGTATGTCTCTGGTATAAAAAGTGGATACTTTAATGATTCTTCCTATAGGTATTAATATCCAATCTGAAATTCCAAAATAATGCCCAGCAATTAACTTTTTTTTTAAAAAAAAAACTTTACTATAAAATTTTGCAAATTGTTACATTAAAAACAAATGAATATTCCTGGTAAGAATCACTTCTCTACCTCATTCTCTTGTGATGTGCAGAACCTTGGAGGATTACCAAGCTACAGCGAGTCATCATCACTTGTCATTTCATGGCATGTAAATGGGGCATCTAGCATTAATAGGCTTAAGTCTTTTAATGCTTCTTTGGCACAATCCAGAAGGCTCAGTGAGGGCAAGTCTTCTATTAATAGAACTTCTGCAAATGCTACATTTCAGTCACAGAGTAGCAGGCGGAGTTAAAGTTCCTCCTTTAAAAACAATCTACGTGGTTACAATTTAGACACACTAATGCATAAAAAGAGATCTCAAATCATATGTTACAAATATGATTCACCAAGATCTGCCCAAATGAAGGTGGGAGTGGCAAGTGCAGCTGCCAGCAAAGTCACCAGATCTCAGCTCTGTCAGGCCCACGTTACTCCCTAAAACATCTGTGTTTGGGAGGATTTCTTGTTGGCAAGTTCTTAACAGAGCTAAAGGAAAAATTTTAGGTTTTGCTCAGCTTGGTTCATCTGTGGGACACAGCTTTTACCCTGCTTACAGCAACTGCACGAGGAGCTCTAATGTTTTTTTAAATAATGTAAGATTATTTAAAAATATATCTGCGTATAATTTGGTACTTCGGGGATGACTCTCTGCATCAACAGAGTTTAGGTGATATAGAAGCTTTTAAAAAAACTGTACTGATATTTCTTAAAGTGTCTTAAAGCAATCTCTTGCATGAGAAATGTGGGAAATGTGCCATTGCTTGTTCCAACATTGTATTCACAAGGCTTCTCCACCATGTTTTCAGTTGCTTTGACTAAAATTGCAAGCTATTATTGGAAAAAAAATATGTCATTTTTTATTAAATCATGTGTAAATGTTCATAGCATATCAAAAGCCTGTCAAGGAGCTTAAGCATTTCCAAAAAGATATGACCTGATTTTGAATTATAGTATGGTGTCAGTGCAAATCTAGGAGTTGGACTGCATGAAGAATCCGCTCTTGATGCTAAAGCTGACAAGACTGTGCCATTCTCGTGGCAATTACATACAGATTTTTTTTGACTCAGTTCTTGTATCTGACTTGCTCCAAAAATAGATAATTCCTGCAGAAATTAGTAAAGATTGCATGCAACCTTTTGTACGGGTGAATTTGATTTGTGGTCAAAATTTATTTTCAGCCACTTTTGTCTGCTTCTCTTTTATGGCAAAGGCCGCCTTTGTTCTTGGCCCTGTGTGCTCTTGTGTAAAGCTTTCCTGAAGACTTGGTTGGATTTGTATTGTTGTGGTTTCTTTAATGTAATCTTCTGGTCAAAAGCTTTCAGTTCTTACAACCTATAATTATTCTTTTATGTATCCCATTCATAGCACAGAGAAAATAATAATGGTATCTAGAAGCTAGCTGGAACTGGATTTTAAAATAGTAAAACTTCTATTATTTAAAGATTATCACCAAAGGGTAGTAGAATCAGCACTTTGGCCTTCTGCATACATCACAGAGGCTTTATATTCTGTTTTTGACTAACCCCTGCTTGTACTCAGAGGTGCCCAAACACCTGAATTTTGGTGACGGTCAGATTCACCCCCAGCTCTGTGCCAGACCCCCTGAAAAGCTTACTAGGCGGGTTACAGCCACCTTCATGACCCTGGAGGACTGGCAGTGCCCGTGCTGTACACCTACTGAAGTACACAGGAAAAAAAACAAAACACCCCCAAAGCCTAAGGTAAAAGTTCTCTCTTATTTCAGTGCCATCGCGATTGACGCACTTACACCTGCCAGTGTCTTCTTCTTTCCATGTTTGAGGCGCATTTCCGAGCCCCCCCCGGCCCGGCTCTCCGCGCCCGCGGAAACTCTGCCCCCGCCAACGCCCAGCTGCTTTCTCTCTTCCCATTGGCTCCTCCCGCTCGCTGTCGGCGGTGGGACAACCAATGGCGTGCTGTGGCGACGGGAAGGCCCGCCCTCCGTGAGGCGGCCCGCCGGAGTGCGGCGCAGGGCGGGGGCCCGCTCTGAGGGAGTTGGGGGGGGGAGGGGGGTTGGCACCGGGGGTCGCCCGGTTGAGGCGGCGGCGGACGGTGCTCGGAGTGCGAGTGGCGGTGGCGGAGCGGCCATGAAGGTGAACGGGGGGGAGGTTTCCTCCGGCCGTGAGAGCGTCTTTCCTCCTAGCTGAGGGGAGGAAGGGGAGGGGGCGCGAACCGTGTGCGTGACGGGGCCGGGACCCCGGTGGGACGGGCCATGCCGCCCCTCCCTCGTCGCCTCAGGCCGCCTGGCCTGGCTGCGGCCGCTGTCCCCTCCCCGGGCCTGCCCCGCTACCGAGGGACGCCCGGGGCCGGGGGCCGCCTTGCCGAGGAGCCCCGGCGCCCTCCGCTGACTCAGCAGCCGGGCAGGGCCTGGTGGTGCCGCCGCCTGAGGCGAGCCCCCGCCCCCGTCTCCACACACCGCCTGCGGTCGATCCGCGGTGGCTGCCGGGCTGCGCAGGGCTCCGGGCGAGAGGGATCCGGGCTCGGGGCGGTGCGTGAGGGCTGTGGCTGTGGCGGGGGGGTGGGGGGGAACGGCGGTTGGGAGCCAGCCCCGGATGCGGGGGGCACGGCGGGGAAGGCCCCGCTCCGGCCGGCCGCGGGGTTCGCTTCGCCGCGTCCGAGGTTGCCGTTGTGCTCTCAGGTTAGGGCTGAGGGTTGTGGTGAGTGGAGATCTCAGTTCGGTGGGTATAAAGACGAAATTTCAGCTAAAATAGAAGAAAATCCCTTCTGCTGCTCTGCTCTTGGTCTGTTGGCTTTGCTAGCGAATCCTGCTTGCACAGATGCGTAAGGAACAGCATACAGCCTCCTAGCTTTTTGGGGTGGGTGTCTTTCTGAGGTGATATTCTCATCGTGTTGCTAAATGCCCTTAAAGCTAAAAACAAGAGCAGAGACATTAAAATGCAGTATTTTGGTCCTATAGGATGCACATAAGGTATGGAGGGAGGAGGTAGCTGATGGCAGCTTGTGAGAAGAGAATATGGAAGTGGTGACTGCTGTAGTTGGAAAGGCTTTTGGTGCAGAAATTGGCAAAATTGTGATTAATTCTCAAGGAAGGGAGTCTTTGGTTTAGTGTGTGTTATTGGTATCTTGTGTTGGTGCTTTTCAGAGTGGTCTAATTTCTTTTACAGAGTAATATGAAGAGCCTAGACACTGTAATTGAATTATCAGTTAATAACACTAGTGCACAGAGAGAATCCACAGCTGACTTAGCTTAAGGAGGAAATTAATGGTGCCCATGTTACCTTACCTTTCACCTTAAAATAGCGGAATGCTTGGCAATAAGTGTAAAGAGATTTTTCTGTTTGATACTAACAATGTTTGTGTATCCAAAATGAGTAACAAAAATTCCTGAAGTATATATTTATTTAGTGTTAACAGTGATGTCTGAGCAGTTGTTAGAGGCTCTTGAATAAAATAAGTCCAAGCAGCAGGTGTTAAACTATTAGGCAAGGGTTGTGGTAGCAGCTGTGTTATGTCCTTTTAGTCGTTGTGTGTCCTGCTGCTGCTGTGACCCCATGAAAAAAACATAGTCATCTAATGAAACAAGTTGATTTCTTATAGACCCTTTGGGTTAACTGTTTTATTTTTCTGTTATTTGTATGTGGCTATTTTAAATATAAAGCTAGCTCATCAGTTTTTAAGACTATGTGAAGAATTAGAGTAACGTTTCTGCAACTGACAACTTTCGCTTAAGATGAGAAAAAATACTTTTCAGAAGTCCCAAATTTTAAAACTTGGAGCAATTTTAGGTTGAATCATTGGTTTTCAGAATGTATTTCTGAAAAGTTAATTACTCTTGCCTAATAAGCTAGGATAATTATGCATAACTTATTTTGTAGAGGAAAAATTAATATTGATCTGTTTCCACTCTTTATTATGGAAGAGTAGAAAACAAGTCTTGGTTTGACGATAGTTTAATGATTGTCACAAAAGTCTGATTACATGCCAGAGAGGCTCCGAGCGCACGGTGTGTCTGAGCGCAGGCACGTGCTGGGGCTACCAGTGCCTTGGCTGGAGGTCAGGCGCTGGAGATCATCCCCCCTTCAACTCCTTTCGCAGGCAGCTTCGGAAGATTTTTCCCCTCTGTGTGGGATGTCCACTGCATGGAGGTTTCTGGTTATGCCTGGAATGAATTTTGCTCTTGAAATACCTCTACAATTAGACCAGTGAATTTAATTTATTGCATGTACATTTGATGTTATTACTGCACGCAGTGTTACCTGTTGTACAGCTTAGATGCAGAATGACTGTGTTTGGTATTTCGCTGTATTGCAACATGTTTAATGCCAGCCCTCAGCAGAAAAAGTGAAGTACAAGGTTTGGGTTGGAGAGTTCCTTTTGATGTTCCATACCTAAGGCACTTGGATGTGCATGCTGTTGTAGAACATGTTTGCTCCTATGGCATTGTTTCTCACAGCTTCTCTCTAAACCAAAGTGAGGACTCTTCTCTTACCTTTTGTGCTCCGTGGTTTGAAAGGAGATGTTCTGGCATATCCCTGGTTATTGTGCTATGTTCCCACAAATGTAACAGGACTGTGTTCAGTTCAGGGAAACTGTGCAATTTAATATAGAATTTAGTCTAGTTACTACAGAAATTAAAGCACCATCATTACTGAGCTGAAGTGCATGTTCGGGTTGGTTTAGGTTTTACAGCAAGAACTACAAGTCTCAAAAGCAATTATTTTATGTCTTCATGTTTGGGGGGGGGTGGGGGGGTGGGTGGGGAAAGGTGCTGCCCTCAAATGAAGAACAGAACAGCTCCTAACCAGCATAGTTGAGAAACAAAGTATGAAAAAAACCCCCAACTTATGTTTAAAGGAAGTTGTACCACTCAGCTTCCTTTCAGAAGGAACCTGGTGCAATTCTGTTTGCCTTTTTTTTCAGTAGGTTTCAGTGAGCCACATGACAGTTATTAAACATGTGACGCGAGCAAGTTGGAGTCCAAATTCCAACTTTAAGCAGAATATGCACTTTTGAAATAGAATCTAGAGCTAAAGGCTTTCAAGGATAAGTAGTAGCAATTTATTTAGGTATTTAGATTTTTTTGGTAGTGTTTTAAGATTAAATTGTGTGACTCAAAACTGAAATCCAGTCAATGTGAAATAAGTTAATTTAGAATTATCTTGATTTTTTTTTTTTTAGACACTTTGTAAGAAAACAGAACAACAGGATCAGGGAGGTCTTGAAAAACAGTTCCCCCTCAGAGAAACAAGACCATAACCAGTTTCTAATGAAGACTGGTTTGTTGCTTTGAAGTTTGAAGACCCAGAAATGTTTTTTTGAGAGAGTTTTATTGTGAGTCATATAAGAGCTGGGCTAGTTCTGGAGCAGATCCTGCAGGGGACAGCTCTGCACTAATTATGGTAAATTGTTGTGTTGCTCCCTGTGATCGGTTATGGTTTTGCCCCTCACCTACGACTGGCTGTTAGTCTCTTCCTTCTCTGCTCCGCTATTGTGTTACCTCCTCAAATTCCTTACCCTTTTTGTGTGGAACTCTGCTAGAAAAGGAGTTGTGCAAACGAGCTCCTTGTGTCGGCATTAGCCTCTTGGAAGCAAATCTCACCTACTTTGGTTTGCAGCTGGGAAGTGGAGATTATTAGGCTGTTGTAGATGTTAGTGTGCTGAATTCCTGGTGCTCTGGGAATTCCCACCACGTGCTTTTGGGATGATGACAGATGGAGTGAAGTAGCTCTTTGGTAGCAAGTCACATCTGATGCGCACTTTCAGATATTGATGTTCTTTTTTTGCTTTGTGAATGTTCTCAGGCGGGAGCTACTTCCATGTGGGCTTCCTGCTGTGGGTTGCTGAATGAAGTCATGGGTACTGGAGCTGTCCGGGGCCAGCAGGCTGGCTTTGGGGGAAGTGCTGGCCCATTCAGATTTGCACCAAATACAGACTTCTCGGCATATCCGTCTCCAGCTGCGGCGGGCGCCAACATAGTTTGCAAAGCCTGCGGACTTTCCTTTTCAGTTTTTAGGAAAAAAGTGAGTATCTTTCCTATTACAGAGTATTTTTGCTCATACAAACTAAGCTGTAGGCATGCTGGGATATGAATGTCTCTTTTTTTTTTTTTTTTCTTAGATAAGGAAACCCGAGGCAGATAGCCAGGGAGGGAGTAAGTGCCTTATTCTGAGGTCACAGGAAATTAATGTCAGACAGGATTACAAGCTAAGAGGTCTGATGTTCATTAATCGGTGGCACGTGAGATCTGGTCTGACCCAAAATGGGTGGATTCTAATTTGTAAGATATGTGTTTTAGCTTCAGAATCTTAGATATTAAAACAAATCTGGTTTTGAAGAAGATAACAAACATAGTGGGTGAGTACTGGAATGAACGCACTGGGTGATGGAAAAGCTAAAAATTCGCAATATAGTATCACAGCTTTTTTTCTGTGAAATACTCCTGTAATTCTGTTTGTTTCTGAACAAGGCTTAGTTCTGTTAAATGCTATTGCACTCCATTGCCTCTTCCTTCATTTGGAGGCAGGTTGGTGGGTTAATGCAGATAAATAAAATGGAGATTGCTAATATTATTTCTGTGTATCATGACTGTCCAGCATCATTATTTCATCCACTCAGTGACCTAATTCTCTGCAGCTTGTTTAGATAATCATGAAGCCTCTTTCCTCAGTTGCTGTGTTTAGTTTCCCCCTTCCTATGCATCCTGTTGTTCGCATGGCAAATGCTTTATTGAAGTAAGGGTTGTGTAGGGACAGTTTCTGAAGCTAATATTAATTTACTGAAATCCTTAAAAACATGAAGAGTTTGGATTTGTTCACAGCAGATGAAATGACCATTTAAAATTGCTGCTGAAAGTGTTGCCTAGCTAGCTTTTGTATGCTGTAGTGAATCTTTTGAACATAGCTCTCTTCAGAAATGACAGCTGGGCATTTGGGGAGTATTTACCTACCATGTGAGTCATCACATTTAAGGCCTACTTTGAGTTCTTTGAATTAAGGAGGAAGTATGTGCTTTAAAGTTTGGGGGTTATACTGTTTTTGCACATATGAGAAGAGCAGTGACATTACCTTCAAAAGCATTTTAACTGGCTTTCAGTTCGTTTATTATCTAAACTACAACTTGAATACTTTATTGATTTGTTTATTCGGAATGTTTTTTTCCCTGAAACCTCAAATCAACTTACAGTAGTGCTACAAAAGTGATGGACTGCTGTGGAACACCTGCAAAACTATTTGACAGGGCAGTTTTCTAGACTTAAATCCTAAAAATGATGCATGTCAAAACTGGCAATGGAAAGAGTAATAGTAAATTATGTACCCTGGAGAAGGAATGAGCAGGGTCTAGATTTGTTTCTGTGGCATACAGCTGAATGGTTATTTTTATTTTTCTCCTTAGCACGTGTGTTGTGACTGCAAAAAGGATTTTTGCTCAGTTTGTTCAGTCTTACAAGAGAATCTCAGAAGATGTTCCACTTGTCACTTGCTGCAAGAAACAGCCTTTCAGCGACCTCAGTTAATGAGGTTGAAAGTAAAGGATCTGCGGCAGTATCTGATTCTCAGAAACATACCAACGGATACTTGCCGAGAGAAAGAAGACTTGGTGGATCTCGTGCTGTGCCATCATGGCTTGGGTTCGGAGGAGGATATGGACACTGGTAGCTTGCACTCATCACGGTCACAGACTTCGGGATTTTTTACTCATCCATTTTCTATGTCTGTATCAGTGTCATCTCAAGGAGAACTTGCAAACAGAAGGGGGAGCACAGGAAATGGAACACCTTTACAGGTACAATAGTTAACGTGTTTATGGTAGAGCATAGTGGCTTTTTTTTAAATAGGTATGCATCGCTTTAAAATAAAACACCAATTGGTACAGTTCAGGGTGGCAGGAAAAATGCCTGTTGTATCTCACCTGAAAACAGAAGATTCCTAGGTAAGATTACTAGTTTAGATGACAGGTGACTTAAATCAGTAATGATTAGCAGCAACCGAAACTTCAGAATGTCATTGTCATCTGCGATCAGTTTGGTACAAAGGAAAATGCTTTATAAGGGATAATGTGTTTTTATCCTGATTAGTTTTATTTTGTACACAGGGACAAACAGAAATATCTTCTATAAATAATGAAGAAGAAGAAAGTGCAGAAGAGCAGGTGAGATACGGACTATCCAAAGAATAAATTTTTTGGCATGTGACACCATAAACTGTTTGTATCTGTCAACATCCAGTATCGTGCTCTGGTTCTTTCAGAGTTAGCTGTGTCTAGCAATGCGTATCCACACATACGTGCTTTTAAGAGTGAAATTTCAGCCAAGCTGCTGCAGCTTGATGGCGCACCAGAGCTCGTGCTCTGAGTTACTGGGACATTAAAACCATACAATTGTTGTGTTTCAGACCCCTGGGTTGTCCAGAAAGCGAGCGAGGGCATCTCTGTCTGATATTTCAAGTCTGGAAGACATTGAAGGGTTGAGTGTTCGGCAGCTGAAGGAAATACTTGCATGTAATTTTGTCAACTACTCGGGATGCTGTGAAAAATGGGAACTTGTGGAAAAAGTCAGCAGACTATACAGAGAGAGTGAGGAAAACCACAAGACACGTAGGTTTATCTTTTATTCTTACTTTCTTAAGACTACTTATTTTCTGGTTTCCAGTAAGTGGTTCTGTTAACAGAAGGACTTGGTATCTAACTTGGCTAGCTCAGCTGGAACAACCGGAAAGTGGGTTTTAACAATTCAAGGTGCATCTAGAATAGCTGAACGTGGTTCTAGTGAATAAATGAAGCTTTCCAGGATTGTGCTGGTTTTTGAGACTTTTTTCCAAAGCTCAGAGAGCTCAGCTTTCACGGCGAAGGTAAAATTGCACAACTGAGAACCAGTTCCTCAGAGAACATGAAACTCGGCACCTCAACATCCTTTATTAGGTTTCACAAGGCATTAGTGAGAGAGCTTCTCAGTAGCTGTCAACAGACCAGAGCAATTCAGGTCTTTTACTGTGGTGCAGAATTAAAAGCTACAGTGGCAAAAGTCCAAGTTCAAGTGGTTTGGCCCCATGTTTTCATGATAAGGTGGTTCTGTGGCTGCAGCTCAGTGACTGCTGTTCTTGTACCCTGTTACGCTCAACTGCTGGAGTCTTTCACTTGAGTGGTTGTAGTACATCCACGGACCAGATTCCTGCTCACAACGTACAATCTGAGGAGCAACTTTCTGCTGTCATTGCCAGCTTGAGTGATGCCTGCCTGGCTCATCATCCCTGCATCCAGCAGTCGGGCTGCAAAGAAGAGGGGACTCTGGTGACTGGAAAACTTTAATAGCCCTGGGCCACTGTGCAGCCAGACTGTGCCAGCACATACGTTGCAGGGACTGTGATGATCTGGGTGAATAATCAGCTAATTGGGGTGGAGGAGGACTGTGAAGTTGGGGGACTGTTAGTGAATGTCAGAGCATGGCTTAAGGGAGACTTGCAGTCTGGTCACAGGCTGGAACTGCAAACTTGTCTGAAATCAAGCTTTAAAATTATTTTTTTTTTAACATGGTCTGACAGAACATTCAGTAGTTGCTGGGGGATGTTGTCTGCAGTGAAACTTGACAGGTTTTGTTCAGTTCTGCCACCTTTAGGGCCTTCTTAAGGCTTTTGCTTCTTAGCCTGCTTTATTATTACTGTGTTTAATCTTCTGAGGAAAGTGTTCTGCCAAAGTAAGCTCAGAGGTGGAAAACCAACAGGCTTTGAATTTTAATCCAGCACATTATTTCAGTCATTATCTTGTGAATTGAAAATGGTCTCTAGCTTTAAAGAATGAAGCCAAATATTGGATGTTCACTTAGTGGCTTTCTAGTTCTTGTTTCTTTGCCTTTTTGAAGGAATATAGATCGATTCTTAGCTGTGGGCTAGAAAAACTGTTGTGAACATGGAGCAGCACAACTTCATGCTGAACGAGCAGCCTGTAGACTGGGCTAGGACTGAACTGGTTTTCCAGGGCCCGCGTGTGCGTGACCTCCCTCTCTGTTGCGTTTCAGAGGGTGAGAAAATGCAGCTGAACGACAACGATGACAACCTGTGTCGGATCTGCATGGACGCCATCATCGACTGCGTCCTGCTGGAGTGCGGCCACATGGTCACTTGCACCAAGTGCGGCAAGAGGATGAGCGAGTGCCCCATCTGCCGCCAGTACGTCGTTCGGGCCGTGCACGTCTTCAAGTCCTAAACTGAGCCCCAAAGCGGAGCTTGCAGCCGCCTTCCGGGATGGCCGGGGGTGGGAGCGCCGACCCTCGGGGCGTACATCAGCTTTTTAGTTCTTGATAAACACAGCGGTTTTGAACATCAGGATCTAGAAGTTTGTGAAACATTTTTCTACAGCATACTGAATCCCAGGGTTGGGTAGCACTGTGTGTACAGTCGCAGTGCTGCCTGACTTACCTTATAAACCCACAAACTGTTTGAGTCAAACTGTTTACAGCAGTTCTTGCTCTCTTCTGAAGAATATCACCGCTAATTACTGCATTCAGTACTTGGCAAGTGGTCAGGAAACACCTCTGCTCGACCATATTAGCGTGTTGCATCATCTAGTGCATTAGAAGCAACTAATATATCAGTTGAATATTCAGCTTTTATGTAATTATAGAATGTAACTGTTCTGACACTGTCCCTGCAACGGTGTTGACAGTATAAAATGCGACTGTAGGAAGCACTGCCATTACCTGTACGTGCACAGAAGCCCTTAAGCGATCTCTTTTATGCTGATTGCTTCCTTCCCCATGTCTGTCATTACACACCTCCTGTCTTGGCCATTTGTAAATGTCCAGGAAGCTCCGTCCTTTTGCAGGGCTCTGCCATGTCCTGTCCAAATACCGATTACTAAGTGTTTTTTAGTTTAGGAATAAAATATTTTTTTAAAAAGGGGTATAGTAAACCAGGTTACTGTGGTCCTTAATCCACGCCTGCCTCTTGTAACTATTAATCCTAAGTGTGATGATTGTAGTCCCAGTGCTGACAACCTGATGTTACTGTGAATACTAATCAGGGTCACAAAACTACTTGCTGCTAACCTGTGGAATGTATGGTGTTACTAACCTTAAATGGGGAGGGGTTTAGTAAGGGAAGGGAAATTGTTTGTGTAAAACCTCCTGTTCACAGACTTCACCGAGGCTGAGCAGCCATTAACTGTGCTTCCCCTGGCCTGTTAACAGCCCTGGGAGGGTCGTGGTGATGGACGACAGCAGCAAGAACAGCTCTTGCTCTGGGACCAGCTCCCTGGGGCCAAGCACAGCAGAGCAGTGGTTAAAGTCACTGTTAATAAGAGAGGTGAGTCAGTTATTCCTTTGCGCAGGGTCAAGCCATGGAGTTACAGTTTCTCCTTTTAATTTCCCACGTGCTAGCAACTTGACAGACAGGGACATGTTCTGCTGAGGCTGTAGTACCTGTTAGTTCTTACCTCTGCTACCCTGGTATGTCTGCACTTGTCTTTTATGTGAAAAACTAAGCTGGCTTGTAAAAGAGAAAGGAGCTCCTCCTCAAACTAAAATACACAGCTTAGAGACCCTGCTGGTTATTTTTCAGAAGGGAGCAAACCTCTCAATGGCTTTATTTTTTAGAAGTAACTTTTTAATGGTACTTAATTCTTGGAGTCTCTGCTCAGTGGGTAAGCTAATGAAGAAAAACATACCTTATATGTTATTTCCATGCTGATCATTAGCCACACAAGCTTAATAAAGATTTGTGATGGGCTGCCTCAGCCTCTGTCTCTTTTCTTAACTAGTTGGGGGGTGTTGGTTACTCAGCTCAAGCTTTACCATTTTTCCTGAGGTGTGCAACTGCTCCTGGAGTCCTGCAAGATTAATCTGGGCAGCTTCCAGCTGCATTTCACTCCCACCCACTAAAAATGGAGTGGAAGATGCCACCGTGGAGGCACAGGCCAAGGGCCATGAAAGTACAACCTGGAGCATGACAGGAGGGGCTGCACCAAGTCTACAAACCAGAACTTATTCCCCCCTCCACCCCAGCCATAACCCCTCAGGGCACAGTGCAGTCCCTCCCTCTGCCCCCAAACAACCCCAGCTTGGAACAGAAACCTGCCGAGCCAGCACCTGTTTTTGTACAATTGTTTATACAAATTCAACAAAGGTAAAACTGCATCAGGAAGGTCTACGAAAACAACACCATACAACAATGGCACTTATGAATGCAGAATTTTACAATCAGGAAATAACCATGTTATAAACCTTAAATGAGAACTCAACTCACACTTCAAAGAAAGAGAGACTACAGTTGACCATTTATTCTACGGCTGGACTCACTGTATAAATTAATTTTATATTGAGTACAAGAGCTCATGCTACAGAGTGAAACCCTCCTATGTGCAAAAGCTGAAATTGGAATTTTTTAAAATTTTGAGAAAAAGGTGATTTCTATACAGATAAAAGTGTTTTACTTCAACTATAATTTACACCTTATTTCCACAACATGCTTATGTCACTTCTGAAGTATACAAAGCAGGATATAAACTTCCATTAAAACATGCTTTAAGTTGAAAGTATTAACCTACTTTTCCTGACCTGGGCACATTTGTAGATAGATACTGTCTACGAAGTATAGGTTAAGTTCTCGCCTACCATAAGTAAAGATAAAAATTGGCAATCAAAACCAAAACACTGGTAATGCATTCAAACATTGCATAAATAATTTTTAAACAATTTTTGTACAAAAATAGTTCTGCATAATGTAAGATGTAACAAAACAAAACGTGTTAAGAAGGCAGAAATGCAGTGCGTGGTCCACTTTAATGACACCAACTTTTTTTTTTTCTTGTTTTAAGAAATGAAAAGCAGAAATCAAATTTACACTACCAAGCACATGCTGTGGTACTTTAAATAACAGTATTTCTTGGAGATCAGTCATCTTCCGGGTGTGAACAATTATCATCAGTAACAGTCGCCTTATGAATTTGCATAAGAGCCAGTGCAGGACATCCCAGGTAGACTGAATTAGTGGCACAAGTTGAAATTCTTAACATGGGTAGTTTCATGTTGTTCTCTCCTCAACAAGAGTTGTAAAATCCAATCGCGGTATTTTCCAATATTCCAAGTTCCCAATTGAAAATAAAATCCCTACGTGTTCTTAGTCCCTTCCCCCCCGCCCCAGTATTTACATGTGTCCTTTAACTAACTCAGTTTTTGCAGAAGTTTTTCCTCCACTTGCCCGAACTGAACACTTACTGACATTTCCGCTATGAACTGCTCGCAGCCTTCTTTTGTCACTTGCTTGCAGTACCTCAGGTCGATCTGGCAGATGTTTCCACAACGTTTGAAATAAGACAGGCACTGGTCAGTAACCTTATTGCAGTCTGGCAGGGGGGAAGAAAAAAAAAAAAAAAATAGGAAAAATTTAACAGACAGTCTCAGTTTGAGGAGGGTTTATCCCGCTGGTGGTAGATCCTTTTTGCTCCTCCCGTGCTGTGCCGACTGACACAGCAGCTACCAGGTTACTCACACCCACTGCACATCCAGCTGCTCCCATGGGGGCAGGGGAAGAGCTGGGTGAACCCACTCCCACCCGTGAGCATTTCACACCAGCCTAACACCAATGGGCAACTCCCACCCTCCCCCCACCGTCGGCTCCCCTGCGCTTGTGTTGCTTACCTGATAAATTAATTTCTGTTAATGAATCCCGCGTGGTTGTTCCGACCGCGGTCAGCAGGTTAATAGACTGATCTGTCACGTGATTACAGTAACTGAGATTGAGTTTGGAGAGCAGAGGCATGTGCCTTATGATCAGCCGCAAAGAAGCGTCTGTAATATCCAGGCCAGCCAAACGCAGCTCCACTATGTTCCGTAGTTTACTCCGGTTGTCGATCTGACCTGGAAAATGGAGGCAGCAGGTCACTCCCCAAAGTCTCAGCCCGTGTTGCAAACATCTGCAGATCTATATGAAATGCACTGTGACACACAACACTGCTGCCCTACGTCCACTTCAGACGCTTTTGCCTGTCTGGAGCTTTGGAGGGGATATCAGCAGGAACACTTGTCTATTTTTGGAACAGGCACGTGGACAAAGCCACCTCCTGATTTCAAAACAAAAGGGATGAAAGTAACTGCAGGGGCCCAGCGGAATTACAAGTCGGGAATAAGCAGTAGGCTGTGCAGTGCATGCCAGAAAGCAGATCTGATTTGCTCAAAATTTCACCTGAGCTGATATCCGGGCGAATGTGGCATGACCCACAGAACTGCTCCTTCCCTGAACTGGAAGAAAGTGTTTCCATACTCTCTAAAGTACACCCGTTGCAGCCTGAAGAGAAGAAAGTCAGACAGAAAACCAGCACAGTGGCTCAGATGACTGTTCAGCAGCCAGAGAACATCACTCTTTACCCAGTGGCTTCCAGCCAGGAGGTGTTGCAAGTCACTACTTTGAACACCTCGCGCCTCAGCAAAGCCCAGAACCCCGCCGGAGCTGGCTGCGGGGGTTCCTGCCCGTTTCCTCCAAGGGGGACTAGCAGCAGAACGTGCCACAGAACGGCTGGGACAGGGCTCCCCCGTGCTCCTCCCGCCTGTTACCTGGCCGGTTATCTGTGGGTGGTGACAAGAGGTCTCGCATTTGTGCGTCTTTCAGTCCTTCTGCCCACTGCACGTCCAGAGTTCGGAGTAAAGGACAACTGGAACTACAAAGTGCCGACACTGCTATCCACGAGCACCCTGATAACAGCAGGTCTCGAAGACCTGCAGATACAGAAGAAGTTGGAGCGTGTGGCCTTACCCGGAGAGGTGTCCGCGGGGATCCCCACTGCCATGCGCAGGCTGGGCGAAGCCCAGAGCCGCTCCAACGAACAATCCCAGTGCTCCTGGGCAAACTGGGACCCCATAAGCCGCCTCTGGCCCCGCTCTCCATCTCTCCCACCATCTGGAGCTGTGTGACTGTGGGTGACAGACCCCTCCCACCCCCCTTTTCACAGCAACGTTACCTGTTGTCAAAGACCTGCTCCAAATCAGTTTACCGAGCACATCAAGCAGCCACAATACAACTAATTTTGGCCCCATTTTAACTCGTTGATGCCTCACTCCCGTGCATTTAACTCCTTGCCTAGGACACCCAGATCCCTGCAGACGTTCCTCAGATACTTGTGAAGTGGTCAAAAAGCATCACTTACCTGGCAGTCTGTTGATAAGCCAACTCAGCTGCTTTTTAGATATATTTGTCCAGCTAAGATCGAGGGTTACAGGTTGTCTCCTAATAATGCCACTAAGCATAAGTGGAGTGATGGATTTACAATGGTTTAAATCTATTTTGGTCCATAATCTTTTGTCACAGCACCTACCCAAAAAGAAAAAAAGCCAACAGCACTTAATTTGGCACTTGTTTTGATTTCTGAAAGTCCTTAAAAGGTGTCATTAAACAGTAGGGAAAACTACAGCATTTAACTGAAAATAGCAAAAGTAGGGCTGAGCGATGCTAAGATAAGCAAGCACAGCACCACACAATGTTACGTAGGTTTGAAGTTTCTCCATCAAATATATCATGCAATAAAGCATGGAATTATTCCCACAGCATTACAAGTGTTAACAACTTTGGATCCCATTTTAAGCCATCACAGCACTTACTAAAATCCATTTTCTAGCCTGAGGACGAGCCACACCTTCTTGCCTACCTTCTGAATATAAAGACTGCTTTTAAATACTACTGTCCCGATTTCCCCTGCACTTTTCTTACTTAAAACCAGTGAATTTTGTAAAACAGAGCCCCTCTCTCTTTTTCTCTGCTTGTGTGTTACTCTTACCTACGTGGCTTTATGTGTTTTCATGCTCGCTTTATGGTTCTCTAAGGGCAACAAGCAAGAACTCCTACTGAATATGGAAGTTTCTGCATTTTCTTATTTTTCCATTAGAAAATACTGCACATTAGTGGCAAAGGCATTTACCAGCTTTCTGTGGCACTAAGAAGCCCACGGAGGAGACACTCCACACACAACATCTTGCACCAAATTATTAACCTCTCAACCTTTCTGTCATTCACCCAGTTTGTTACTAGACTGTGCTAGAAAGGAGTCTCCGTTACAATCTGCCCATCTGTGTGCACATTACAGTCGAATCCAAGTTGACAGCCAACAAGAGACTTCACTGCGAGTTCAGTGAAACACATAAATCTGTCCACTAATGCTTCCTGCTGCTGTACGGTCACCGACCATGTCAGTGTTCACACTGTGGGACCCCAAGCACCAAACGGACATGCTGTGAGTAAATACAATTAAAGAAGGATTCCTCCATCAGCTCTGCTGGTACAGAACACAGTGAACGGGATTGCTCGCCATGGAAACAATCAGCATGGACCTTTGGAGGAGAACACCAAGGGGACTGGGAGATCTTCACTTTATCTCAATAGATATTTAACAGCAGAACCAAACAAACAACTGCAGTAGCAGTCAGCAAGTCCTGGGGGCAGAACGACACCAAGACAGCATGACCCAGACTGGCTGTTCCAGCAAGCAAGAACATTGTGGTGTCTAACTACAGAACAGGCTGCTCTGGGGCAACACAGACAAACACAGACACACACAGTTCCCATCAGAAACGCTGGGAACTGCTGTTTCTGAGAAAGCACCAGAAGACATACTACTTCCCCAGACACCCCCTGTCACCCCTTCTCCTCGGGCTCAACAGAGCTTCAGCAACAACCCGCACACCTCTTCTAGGAGACGTCAGCGCCTCCGTCACCCGCTTCCTTTGAGTCCATCCCGCTACACATTAGACCCAGCTCGGTGTCCCACCCTCCTTACCATCTGTTCCAGGTCTTGCAAACTCTCATACAGATGCACAAGTCCCTATGACTGAGGTAGCTAAAGACAGCCATCCAGACTTCCCTCTGCATCACGTGGGCTGCCCCATCATCCAGGGGGAGCGAGTCCGGAGGGGGGCTGATGGGAGGTGGCCGGATAACGTGCCGTTCCATCTGAATGCATTTGGGAGGAGAGAGCGAAGGTGGGGGCCGGGTTATTCCCCGAGGTGTGCTGCGCAGGCTGGGGATGAGCTGGTGCCTCAGCTCCCGGGGAGTCCCGTTTAACCCTTTGCTGAACCTATGGAGTCTCTCACTGTTGTTCAAAGCACGCTTAGGTTCCTCATTCTCACTCTCAGGTTCAGATTTGATGGGTTGGTGATTCTCATTGGCAAGGCTGTTCTCGGTTTTTTGGATCTCCTGGTTAAGCTCCTTGCTGAGCTCTTTACTCAGTTCCTTATTGGGAAGCCGCCTTTTCCTCCTCATCTTGAACTTCTTCTTGTCCCTGGGCTCAGCACCCTCCGTGCTGGGACCTGCAGTGGGCGAGCTGGACCGTGACTGGTCGCTATCCTTGGACCTGGGAGGTGCTTCTGGCAGGTCATCCTCTGGCTCCTGCTTCAGGCGCCGGAGAGGTTTGATCATGGCAGTTCGGTCATCTGGAGCCTTCCACGATCGTCGCTGAAAAGGAAGAGACAAGGGCTGACTATTCGAGCAAGAACATACTCAGCAACACTCGCACATGCTGATGCTCCACACAGGCAGCCCTGCCCGGGGGGGAGTCGGGCTGCCTGCCAGCACTGGGCCCCACCCATCTGAGCACAGGGGAACATTCACCGGCCAAAGGTATCAAGTTCAAGTGCCATCATGGATGAAGAGTCCAGCTATTGGCTCTTCAGACTCCAAGAAAGTGATAAATGCATTTATTCACCATGCATAATCCTTCAGATTTAAGGGCCTTACTCATTACACAGTGGACCGTTTATATAGAGAAGATAAGCTGCGTACTACAGACAGCTTTTTCCCCAGCAGGCCAGAAGGAACCAGGCTTGGGACACGTTCACTGGGCACCCACTTGAAACACTGGCCGACATGCATTTACGCCCAACGACCGAAAGGTCAATTCCTGAAACCTCCTGAATCGCAACCACCGACTCGCACTGTGGCTGTGCTGGTGTGGCCCTTTATGCTGGACACTCACAGCCTCATTTCATTATGCTTTAGCTGCTCCTTTATATCCTACTAAACTCTGCCTGTCTTCACAAGCGTCCCCCCACCTCCGGTGTGTGCAGGACGGGGAATGTGACTGACAGGTCTGACACACTGCCAGCCTGACGAGACCTCACGCCAACACGATCTCCAACACAACGCAGGCTGACAGGGGTTAGCTGGCACCTTCTTCCCTGCCCCGGTCACTGTTCATAACAGCAAACTGCACTCCACTTGCTCACATTAATCACATCTCTCTTTGATGCACAGCAGACAGAAGCGTAAGAGATGTACAAACTAAGACCAGGGAAGACTTGAAGTCTAATCTGATCACTACAAGCGAGAAAGAAGCCAACAACTGTTAAAACGAAATAGCTCAAATAAGAAGAGACCTGGACTGGCAAGAAAAGGAGAACTGCTGTGAATACACTTGTTGTATCAGAAGGTCTGTGCTTTCGCAATAAACTAATTGGATCAAGTCAGTGGATGTGCTCCTATGCAACTGCTGCGCACAGCAGAGAAAGCTGATCACCCTGTCTTTAAATTAACATATTATAAAGGAAGAGGTCACAGTAAGTTAATGACAGGTTAGAATAAAAACATTACAACATCAGACTACTGACAGCTTGCAGCATCCTTCACACAGAGTGCTGGCAAGCGCTAAGTTTAAAGGTATTGGACTTCTATCATGCTGGATTGCAAGAGGTAATCAATACTTGCGTGCCAGTCCACCCCTGGCTCCCCGGGGTGTCAGTGGGGGACTGGAGGGACATGCTGTGGTACAGACTGCTGAGGGGCTGTGTGGCAGGGGCAAGAGTCAACCACACATGAAGAGTGAAGCATCAGTATAGAAACAGAATTTTATTCCTTGGGTCATCAAAACAGAGCTTGCTGCTGTTTTTTAATATGGGACACCAGAACAGAAAATATAAAGCCAGATACTGCAGCTAAACTAACCTGTAAAGGTTTCCACAGGAGAGATATTCTGTAATTTCAAGATGCAAATGGGATAATAAAACGCCTGCAGTGACACAAAGACAGGACTGAAACTGGCTCACCATTCAGCTCACATGAAGAGAAGGGATTAAAAGGGATTGAGAACACATCTATTAAAAAGGCAAAGTACCTTCTTCCTGAAGAGTTTGTCTTCTTTTCCAAGTTTTAGCTGTTGGAAGAAAGAAAAGTAAAACCCCTAAAACAGGACATTTGTTGTGCTGCCTGGTGAAGGTTTGGTGATCCACAGTTCCTTCCTCACACACTGGGGGGCTTTCACAGAGCAATTCAAGCCATCCATAAACACTGCTGTGAGCCCGAAGGGATGGGCAAAGGAAAGCATGCGTATCTGCTTTCTGGCCATAAAGTGGTATCGTGAATTTTGCACTCTTGCTCCACCAAAGCAACCCCAATCCTTGCATTTACCTTACTGTAACATTCCTACTGCCAAGCCTTGCAGGGCAGACTGACTGCCACTCCTCAGGAACTACACATGCAATACAAAACCAGCCACCAATTCTGATTTTAAAGCCATCAGCCATTTACTCCTGAAACACATAAAATCTACCTAGGTCCTCATTTCTACCTCTGCAAACCAGTCTTTCTCTATATCTCGATTTTGCAATCCACATGACAATTCAAAGTGTCTCTGCCTGGCCCAAGAGCTCTGTCACATTCAGGGAAAAGCTGTCTACATCGCTGTCATGAGCAGCTCCTCCTCTCTGCAGGCTACAGGAGGTGTCATTTCTAGAGGTCCTCTGATGGGTTATGAGTATTGCACATCCCTGAATCAGCCACAAAACAAGCTGCCACACGCCACCAAGTGGAAAGAGATGAAAAAGTTTCCATTAAAAATTGATTTTCACCTTGTTCTTGCTCCAAGCATCTTGTAAAGATTTTCCAGTTAAAGTGGGTTTTCCAGTATTTTGAATAAAACAACAGCTACAGCACAGTGTTTTCGGCCTCTGAACGCCAACCCAAGTGTCACTGTTTAAACTACCGTCCTGTTAGGCTAGCAGTTTCCAGAAAGGAAGGTAAAACATCACAGTTTCTTTTGTAACAATCTGGGATTTTCAAGATGAGCTATAAGCCAGAAGGCAAGAGACATCAGCCCCAAACAGCCCACACGCATCTGTGTAAGTACATGAAAAAGTGTTTTGTCATACCCGCTTTCTCATAGTGGGTTCCTGGGGTTTCTCAAATTTCCTTTTCCTCCACAGATGCACTTCATCCGACTTTCTCCTCAGTATTGAGTCAACTTGAGTCTTTTTGGAATGTTCCTCTGATTTCCGCCTGGGAGTTTCTTCACAATCCCCTTTCCGTTTTGCAGCATCTGTTACTTCCTTATTGTCTCTGTTAATTTTCTGTTCCTTCAGCAATGAGCCCGGGAGATTTGATGCATATTTGAATCCTGGTCCGCGCTTTTGCTTGTACGCCAAAGAGACACAAAACACAAACAAACTTTATATCTTATGCCTTTCTCAGCTCTTTATCTAAGTTGCCGCCAACATTCCAACAGGGGTGGGTTGATCACTTTGTAACAGACAAAATGATGAGGAAGGAGTTAGAGTAAAGTGGTTTCAACCTTCATAAAGTTATCCTTGTAACTACACACTTGCAAGTGCCTATCTCAGTTTGCAAAGAAATGATGTTTCACTAATTCCAACAGACACTTCAGGTTTTGCATAATTGCTTCTGGATTTTTTTTTTTTTTTTTTAAAAAGTATTTTCATCTTAGAAATTAATGAACTTAAATATTCTTTGGGTTCTGAGTGAACTGTTGGTACATGGAACAAGAATACAAAAATTATTAAAGAACAGAAAGCCATCAGCTTATTTCCATCAACTCAACTGAATTAAGCACAAAATCAAAAGCTGGTATTGGGCAAAATAATAGCTACAAGCCAGAGAGAATGCTTGAGATTTTGTATTGCATTCCAGCACCACTTATTCCCATTAAACTCACTTTTCCAGTTTTCCCTGCATGGTTGCACTTTGGACACTCCCAGCAGTTTGGCAGCTCATCGTTAACCACACCATCCGATTCCTTCACCTGGGGAAAGAGAGGCACAATTCAGTTCACAACTGTGCTGCATTTTGTACAGCTTGATTTTCTCTGATCAACTGCTGCCCTCCCAATGGTTGCAGAAAAGAAACCCAGCCAGCCACAGGTGCTGCACCATCCTGCTGTTGCCAAGCAAGCCCTCAGTTCTGCACAAGTACCCTTCTGGTGATGTCAACAGGGGAGGAAGGCATACTGGCCAAATTGGTATTTGACAAAGAGTTCAAGTCTCAGCTTTTTATTAAGGTCGGTGACAATCCCAATTAGCACAGGGCATATTCTGCTCTTGCAAAAACCCAAAACAATAAAAACAACCCCAACAACCCAAATCAGAACCCCCCAAACCCAGGACTGTAATCACACCATCTCCAAATGTCCTCCCACAACACTTATTTGCAAAGCTCAGTCCTGTTCCGTCCCCCCACCCTGGAGCGAGGCACAGTCTGATCTTTTAATAGGAAGGGATTTTTCCCATACACACATTCTCACATACATTAATACCGTTCGGCATTTTTAGAAGCAAAGCACCCTGCACTGTAATCAAGTGTTCCTTAAAATATTTTTCTTTATGGATCAGAACTAGCAGTCCCATGCCTCCAGTCCTCAAAGCCCATGTGCCAAATAAAAATGATGGTTGCCAAGTCAGCTAGAGAACAGGCACTTTTATTCAGAAGATGGACACATGAAGGCATTTTTAAAGTTTCTCACATGCACTGTTACCCAGCTAGTGTAAGGAAGAAAAGCGCTTACTATTTCACTACCTCAGAGACTGACATTTTGCTTTTTGAAAGAGAAGACACACGCTCACTGTTGTTACACTACAATAAAAGCACAGTTCTGCCCTACACAGTTGAAAAGCTGCTGGTTTCTGAATTTCCATATAGGAGCCCACATTACTTTGCAAACAGGAGATAGGTGTTTCTGAAAAGACATTTCTGTGAATGAAGCTGAGGATGAGAAGTAGAGCTAAGCTAAAAACACCCTCCACGCAAACACACAGGCTCACTGATGGCACATTCACATTTAAGGGTTTAGTTATAGATTCAGCAAGCAGCCAGGGGGGATCAAATAAAATTAATTCATTACTATTGTAGACAACAAAAACCTGCTACTGTCAAGACAAATAGCTGGGTACTGACATCAGCAGCACAGTAGCCGGAGACTGCTGCTGAAACAGGCAGGGGCAGAGATCTGCAGATTTTTCATATTTCTGAAACATTTCCTCTTCTCCTCCCAGCTCATCGAAAATGCACTAGCTGTGCAGGAGCAAGCCCTTGTTTTTAGGGGAACTGCTTCCTCAAGTCCCTGAGCCAGACAGCAGCCATTCTAGTTTCACCATCCAGCAAGAGTGATGACATGTCAGTCTCTCAGCAAGTCTTCTGGAGTTAATAAATGAGTAAATGAAGTGGGCAGAATTTAAATACTGGTTTTATCACAACTGTGCGCCTTTGAACCTTCTTTCCCATGGTAGGTGAAAGATACTCCAGGAGTTGTTGTATACATCTCTGCCTCAGGGGAACAATTCCTGGCCCAAGTCCAAGTTGGGAACAAGTTATTTCCCGCACCGAATATAGAACAAATTCTACCGAAGGGAAAGCATTACAGCTCTGTCCCTTCTGTGAAGTTTAAGGAACTGAACAGATGTGAGGAACTGTAAGCAAACTAATTAGACACACACAAACCTGCCACTGAATCTGTCCCAAGCCTTTCAGGCTGGGTGGGAGCCAGTTCTGAGTGTTTGCTACAAACAGCAGGTGGGTGTCTGAGCCCACAGCGTGCGGCATCTTCAGAAAGGTACCGGCAGCATGAGGTCAGCAATTCAGGAAGTCTAAACATGACACTACGCTACTGTGAAGTCTTCTTGTTAGGGAACATGGAGACCCCAGGATGCTGATCTGACATCGCTGAGCGAGAGCCTTGAATCCTGGCAGTGCCAAGACCGACACAACACAGACAGCCAGACACACCTGGGATGAAGCCATGGGCAGCAGTGCAGCTGTGCTGGAAAAGGTCTTCGTACTTCTGCTGTTCTGACAAAGCACCTAAATATTCACTTTTTCTATCACTATTATCCACCTAAGATGAAAAAGAACAGGCTTCTACTTGGGAAAACAAACCCCTTCTCCTTAAGGGAACAGCATCAGATACTGCACTCACTCACACGTGCCAATCAGCATTGCTAGCAATCTGAGATGTAGAAAGAAAAATAATCAATATTAGTTCAACTCAAACGCTCTGTAACAGCAAAAGGCAGTTTCCTCCAAAATCTCACTAGCTCCCTCCGGAAACAATGCTGTGCTTGTGAAACGCTTGCCAAGGCCATTTTCATAAGAAACTCTCCAGCAAAATGAGCATTCGTGTTGGTATTGTATTTCTGAGGAAAAAAGCATGTCAGGAGCCTCTCGTGACACTTCTTAGTATATGCAACATGCTGGCCGTCCTTAGCGTGGGCCCAACACAAGCACCGAATGTGCTCTGGTACCCAGGGCTCCCCCTGCAAGAGGCACCCACAGAAGCCCCTCAAGGCTGTGAGTGTGTCAGATGCACCTGAGGTACTCTTCATCTCCTCAGAGGTCATCCTCTGACACTTGTTTTTTCATGGAGAAAACCCCACCACAAGCACATACAGCCAAATCAGGAAGCTGGAAGAAGGCAGACTTCAAACCAGGAACAACCTGCCCTGGCATACAAATTAGCCACTGCATGTGCCAAACTACTCCACAAGCTTTGGAAACGTGTCTCGGAGTGAATTCGCTCCACATGGGAATAAGTCAGGAAAGGACACTCCTCCCTCCACTGGTCCAGTTTATTCCACTCTCCCCCAAAAGTATGTTTGCCAGATATTTAATTGGAGATGACTGACAGTTCACGTGTACTACTGCCTATTTACTGGAGACAGGGAGAGACTTTCTCTTGGTGGACAGCCGAAGCAGCTGCCCTGGGGCTGTGTCTGCATTCAAAGGAGCTTCCCACAAGGACTATTCACCTGCTTAAGCCCATGTCAAGGGCTAGAACAACATGTAAACATGGCAACAGATTTTTGTGTCTCAGAAAACCATGGAACCTGGGAATAAAGAGCAAGGAGGGATCCAAGGAAAGAGCCTCCATTTTCTTTTTGCTGTTCCCCTATGCATAGTCTCATCCTGCCTTCCAAGATGATCTGAAATCCTACCAGTCATACTGTTTATTTACTGACACAAAAGGGCAGTTATCCCATCATTTAAGCTCAACAGAAGCGTTGAGAAATTAAAATACAAGACATAAGGCACACTGTAAATCTCCCACTGCTTAATTTTCAGAAACACTCAAAGCAACATTGGTCCTAGTTACCAAAACAGCACTCAGAACACCACACATGCATAAAAGAACAAACAGCACTTGCCTGATTTCACAGATCTGACCCACATCCTGTGCAACTAGTCCCAAATGCGGTACGGGGAGAGGAAACCATATTTGAACTGCCACCAGACAACAACTGTGTCCTCTGGACTCAGTCATGAAGTGTCACTGACACTGCAAAGCGAGAGATGGGGGAGTGCAGGGCACTTTCAGGAAGGACTGGAATGGCAAAGCAGCAGCTACAAGCCACGACTGAGGTACCTCTGAAAACGAGCAGCTCCCTCTTTTGCTTCATCAGCCCCCAAAGCCTTGTTTTAAGCAGAGCCAAGCAAGCACAGCTCTCTTTCAGAGCCCATCTGTGGCAGGAGCTGTGAGCATTGATTTCATGAATCAGGGAGACAGCCACAGGTCTGGTTTGCCAGCTACCTACTTTCTGCTCTAATAAATGACATGCACATAGCTTGGTGCAATACTATGTACAGCACAAGAAAAATAAAAGGCTGGGAGAACATCACCCTGGGCCTGCATAAGGAACATCCCTCTCCTCCCAGAGATCCCAGAAGGGCCAAAAGCTGCTTTCTGGGGCATGGTGTGTCAGAATACATTTGCTTTGGCAAATCCCTTTAACCATAAACAAATCAGCAACAAGAAATGGCTGATCAGCTGAAGCAAACCAGCTCTGGAGAAAGGAGGCTTCTAAATACTAATACACAAGGATATGCCCCAAATGATGCTTTTGTTACCAGCAAAGAATATAGCTGCTCAAAGGACTCAAGCAGGCTAAGGGTGAGCACTCCTGCAGCCTGGAACTCCCTCAGTTTGCTCTCTAGAGCTGCAGTCCTCCTGCTGCAACATTTGATCATAACATCCTCAAAGCCAGCTGCCACTGAAAGGCACATCTGTGCCTGGACAAACACGAACCGCAAACTACTTGTTTGTACTTTGCGGGACACAGGAAGGAGCTACCAATACAGGGATTGTGACTAACTCATCCAAAAATACAGGCAGATTTCTATGTCCTCTTAAGCTTCCCGTCCCAACTGAAACTCCTTACTTCCTTAAACAAGAGGCAAAAAAGAAAGAAAAACAAAACCAAACCCCACAAGACATTTGCATGCACACACATTTTGGAGGCCGTCCAAAGCAAGAGACTCTGCTTACAGGGGATGCTGTTACATCAAAAGATCCCCCCACCTGCCAGGCTGGGCTGTGTGTGCCACGGCTGTCACCCCACTTCTCACACCAACTCTTTGCTCACATAAGTTTTCGAAGATGAAAATGTGAAAGCTTTCCAATTTCTGTGCACTGTTTTTACATTCAGGTGATAAGTAAGCCAGTTTTTGTTTCCAACATCACATCCTTGTACTCACCTTAAGGCATCCTGGGTGTATGATTTCATTACAAATGGAGCATTCCATTAGCATGAGATTAAACTTGCTCTCCTCCTCTTCCACAGTGTCCTCTTTCCCAGCTTCTCCGCACACCAGACACACAGCAGTATGAGGCAACACCGGCTGTTTACATATATCATAAAGAAGTCTTGATCAGGACATGGAAGACACATGGAAACAGAAGAACTCAAATGTGCATTTACAGTATCCTCATTTCAAAGAGGAGATAAATTGGGATTCATTGTGCAAAGTGCTGAAAGGCTCCAACCCAGCAGAGCAACGAAAGCAAGAAAAACTGGTAACAACCAGGGCTGGGTACCCAGACCAAGCATCACAGGACATGTTTCATGGAATGAAAGTGCCCTCCCTGTAGTAACACAGACTCACAGGGCATCCCAGGGATGGATTATTGTGGGTCCCTTGAATCTGTGAGCTGACACAGACACTGGCATTCAAGTAACTTCACTAGTGTACAATGGGAGGGAAAAGAAGCAACCTAGAACATCACTATTCACATCCATTAAACTTCACAATCTGACTAGTAATTTGGCAGCTCCCCTATTTTACAAGCAGGGCAGACAGATGTTATGGGACCCAATCCAGGTCTCACGGCAAGCCCACAACAGAACCAAGAACAAATCTTTTCTTGACCAACAGACTATTACCTAGGGCCCTACTCCCAACCCAAGCATTGCAAAAAGCACTACACAGACCCTTAAAAAGAGAATTCCTCTCCAGCAAGTGTCACAAGTGAGAAGCACACTGATTTTTTTTTCTGTCTTTTGCTGAGGCAGAAAGGGAACTGCAGCATCTCGCATATCTGTCACCCATGTCAAAGTGCTGAATGCCAGTCTAATTAAAAAGCCACCTTTGTGCTAATGAGGAACAAACTTCTGGTTTGTAGCAATAAGGTATAAGCCTTGTTGCAAGAAGGAAAAGGACAATCCTCACATGCAGCTGGCTGTAAAGTGAAATGCAATCGAAGGTTTGGAAGTCCTTAACTGTTAAGCAGCCAGAAGGCAGAGACATGGATTTTCATGGCAAGGACCTCTCCTAGATGGAGTGAATAAAATCCGTAAGTGGATACCTGCACACTGTCACAGTTTAACCCCAGCCAGCAACTAAGCACCACACAGCTGCCTGCTCACTCCTCCCCCCTCCCAGTGGGATGGAGAGGAGAATCAGAAAAGTAAAACTGATGGGTCGAGATAAGAATGGTTTAATGACTAAGCTAAAACAAAAATAAAATATAATAGTAATTGTAAAGAAAAGGAATATAATGTAAAAAAAAAAAAGAAAACCCAAGAAAAGACAAGTGATGCACAATGCAATTGCTCACCACCTGCTGACTGAGCAGTGATCCACCCCTCAGCCAACTCCCCCAGTTTATATACTGGGTGTGATGTCCCATGGTATGGAATAGCCCTTTGGCTAGCTCAGGTCACTTGTCCTGGCCATGGTCCCTCCCAGCTTCTTGTACACCTGCTTGCTGGCTGATCATGGGAAACTGAAAAATCCTTAACTTGGGATAAGTGCTACTTAGCAACAACTGAAATATCAGTGTGTTATCAACATTATTCTCACACTAAATCCAAAACACAGTACTGTACCAACTACTAGGAAGAAAATTAACTCTATCCAAGCTGAAACCAGGACACACACCAAAACAAATCTATGCAGCAACAGTGCATCTTTTGGCAAGTTTCAGACAGGGAAAAACCTAGCTATAGGAAACCATTACAGAGTACAGTACGCTGCCCCACACACCGCCATCTGATACGTTAGCTACGGCAACACTCTCCTGATTTCTCATGCCAGTACTTACCCACGCTCCATCTCAAAAGCATTTTGCAAATGCTATTTAATTCCCATCCTTCCTCCAAGCATAAAATAGGAATCCCCAGGATCCCTTTCCACCAGCAGGTAAACCAGAGAAAAGCTAAGTTGTCCAGACCCCTAAGAGCTCTGTCCACTTGTTTTGTCCGACCACCCACAGAACAAGTATTTATAATCCACACACAAAACCATACATCCCAGAAGCAGCACAGTTTTTCTTGCTGGGAGCAAGGGTGTCTAGGAAATCTCCTCTGTGCCCCACCTAGCTCTGTCCCACTGATGGGCTGGAACAGCAGCCATGCTGTCACAACTTGTCCTCCCAGCACAGAGCCCCACACTCCCTTCAGACCTATTCAATGCAGCATAAAGTGTCCCAGGCACTCCTGTTTCCCTTCTTGATTGAACCAGTGATGAAGGAGTTTCCTGTTCTCTGAATGGCAATACAGGCTCTCCTAAGGCTTCTGAGTTTAATGAAAGTCTGTATCTATTTAATATTGCCAATATTATTAACCAGAGGAAAGCACAAACCCAGAACTGTAGAGATCATTACTTCCACAGAGCCCTGCTTCAGTGTTTTGGATTGTTTTTTTTTTTTTTGGCTAGAAGTTGTTGGATGGGTACCATGATCTATTATAATTGCAGTTGTTAGAGAACATAGTGAACAAGAATAAAGGCAATAGGATTGCTTATAGAAATGTAAAGCACCCTTAAAATTCACCATAGTTCAACTTGCTATTTTTCTATGCTTTTGCTGATCTAAGAAAGTTTGTAATACTCCCCCTGCTATTTACACCAGTGGGAACCTAAAAAGGGCAGAGATGTCTTCTTGAGCACATGCAAGGGTGGGACAAAGCATCAGAGTACTGCAGCTACCAAGCCCTGTGCTCTAACCACAGCTTTTGGAAATAAAACAGCAAGTACCAAGAAGAAAAATACTTCTTCATTAGAAAACACGAGATGAGAGAATGACTACAGTAAGCCAGAAGAGAACTCAGTTCATCTCCAAAAGGCCCAGCCTGTGTTACCAAGAGTGAAACAGCTTAGTATGAAAGTTTCCTTCATCAGTCAGGACAAGAAAGCACACCGCAGCCCTAATTTAATCCCGCCACTAAAAAGGCAGCATGATTTCACTATTTCTTCCCCCTGGAGAATAATAAATTCTTCATCCATGCTGTTCAATTCATGCCTCTCTCCAGGAAATCAAGTGTTCAAAGAAAAGACACTTGAGCTGCAAAAGCACACCGTGGAAAGGTAGATATTCTACGTACTTTACTGAAAGATCCAGCAGAGTTGAATCTAATCCTCTATGTCAGGAACAGTGCATGGCTTAGAACAGGACATGTAGTGAGCTACCAGGAGCAACTACTGGAAACCTTAAGTGCTTATCAGTTTTTTATCTGTGTCAGACCAAGTCACTTAATGCCTCCACTTCAGTTTCCTCATCAGAATTAAAGAAAAAAAGCCTAAGTGAAAGGAACTGTAACAAGAGTTAGAGAAATCAGTATAGATGGGGCGATATTTCAGTTATGAATAAATAACATTCCTTTACTTAAAAAAACAAAAACCAGGAAAGCAAACCCTTAACAGTAGCACAAACAAGACCTTCTAAAGAATTAAGATAAAAGCTAAAGCTAATTTTTACACTTGAACGGGGGCACTGCAGACATGAAACCTGAGGAGAAGCTCCGCAACAGTCAGTACGAAAGCAACAGATTCAAAAGCCACTTGGACAACTTAATAGAAGATTAATCTGTCAATATTTGTTAAATACAAAGCTATCACTTATGACTCAAGAAGCTTCTGAGCAATGTATCACAGGAGCCCAGGAAACTGTCCTTGACTGTCTGCTTGCCCTGTTCTGATGCTCATCCCCTGACAGCCATTTCCAGTCCCTGAGGAAGACAAGACTCTGGCTTTGTGGCTCTTTGGTTCATCTGAATCAGAATCTCTGCTATGCACCTAGGTAACAACAAACAAATTCAAATTCAGATCTCAAGTAGCCTGGAGCTGGGGTCACCAATGCTAAAATCTTGAAGGATGCCAGTCAAAGATTTCTCCATATTTGGTTAATTAGTTAAGATGGTAAAGATGGTTGCAAGGCAGCTTTTTTCAAGAAATTCAGAGATTCAAACCAAATAGACCTCTTCTCCCTTTGAATCAGAACTTCCCACTCTTACCTTCCTCCCTCAAATCTCAGAACTTCAGTGCGATTTGGGTGCCAACTGCCAGTGTATTGATTATCTCCACTTTTATATTACTGAGAACGAAAGCTGTGCTATTAAGTTTTACTAGCATTATGGTTTAAGATTTGGGAAGGATGAAAAGAGACGGGAAGAGATCTGAACTGAGAGGGCAGGGATTATGCTGTTTTGTCTGATGCACTTTAGAGCCTACTCAGAGCAGAGTTCTCAGTTCCACACCTTGTCACCAGGAGACACAGATACAGGAAAGAAATCTCCAAACGAGCGGTAGCAACAGGTACACTTACTGCGATACACTGCCTCATAATGCAGGACTGTTTCATCCTGCCAGGTCCCCCAAATTTCTTCATGTCTTTGCAGAAGTGACACTCGCCGCACTCTGTCCGCAGACACGCCTCGCACTTGCGGCATCGCGTCCTCCTCCGACGTGCTCCAGCGGTTGTCCGATTAGCTGCGAGCTTCACCGCAGAAGCAGTGCCCAGTTTCCCTTTGGGCCGTCCGACTGCCCTGTTCTGAAAGAGCCAGATACACAAGGTTAAATCGCACATCCAACTTACCATCTAAACTACAAATCTTCCTCAGACAGGAGTTATATAGATCTTAGATGTAAACCCGACAGGTGTATCAGACATACACAGATGGGTAATACTCAGCAGATGCATACAATCAGCAACTGATTGGTAAGGGAGTTCCCTTACCTTTTCAAGAAAAGATGTAAAAAGACAAAGAAACAAAGGCATAAAAGATAGATCTCAAATCTATAGCAAGGCCACTTCAACAGGAGGGCAAGGAGAATCAATTTATGTACAGCTCAATGCAGGACCAAGTCCCAAGTGACGTCCTTGGCTTAGGTCAAGAGATGACCTATGCCATTGCTGAGCTCTGGGCTAGGGAGCTCTCAGGATTGTGCTCAGGTTAAGCCAGGTCTACTTTCCTTCACTGGAAGTAGAAGAATCCAAGGACGCAGCAAAAGTAATTTTGAGGTTGGGTATGGCAGAGAAACACTCAACAGCAATGGCTCAAGGCACAGCAATCTCCCTAAAAAAAACCAGGACAATACAAACTACTGCCAAGTGATAAAGTAGGAAATAAACCACAAATACTACAAAACCCTTCCAAAGTAGCTCTCCTCATATCCAATACTTGCAAGTGCTCAAAAATAGAACTCTAACTGATGCTGCGCAAAAGCTAAAAAGGGCATGCCAGGTCTAGATTTCAATGACCTTTAAGACAGAAGCTAAAGGAGCATGAATAGATTTTAAATGATTAGGTTAACTGCAACATATTCACTCTGGATATCTAAATTTCACGTGCTCATCAGAAACTCCCTGTTACACACAAGAACTTATAGCTCAAGCCAAACATCGCTAAATACCCTGTAATTGTATGGGGCTAATTACACAAGAATTGGCTTGGCTCATTCTTACCACTGACAGCTTTCTCCATAAAGATGATAATAATAGGACTGAAAAGCTCATCTGGTTTAGCATTTATACAGTTTTTCCACTTTCTGCACACCTCAGTATATGACCAACAGACCAGCCAGTTTCACTTTCTGTTTCTGCTGAATTCTGGGCAATCACTAAGGCAGGGGCAGGTTGGCTACAGAAAGCCACGCAGAATTTCCACTGCAGTTTTAAAAAGAAAGGGTATGGAGAACATTCTACTTAATACTCCAGAAACTTCCTTAACTGTCCTACTATACCACCCTTAAAAAAAGCCACATAGCTGGGAGGAAGATCAAATACTGAGCAGACTTAGCAAAGCTCCAGTGACTTTCCCTAAGATGCAGAAGAGTGCTGATATTTAAGTCTCCATCCCAAGAACCTCGGCGACAGGGAAACAGAGAAGCCAGGAGCTAGACCTCTTAGCTTTCTCTCCCACAGACCCACTATCATAACTGAGGTGGGAGAAAACACTGCTTAGTTGATGAGGTTACACAGATTTCAGCAAGTTTTTAATTATGCTCCCCCAGAACAGTTTTTGTTCTGCTTGCAGGTTGAATTGCACTGTGCTATGTGAACAGACAAGTGTAGCTTCCTTCCCATCACCAACCACACCAGACACCTCAGATTTCAGATAAATTTCAGACACTCTAAAGAATAAATATTTACCTTTTAGACCAACTTTTCAACCTCTCAAGGATAAAGTCAGCTATGGCAGGACTGGCTTAGAGGCAACCCAAATAAGAGATAATTTCCTTCCTCAGCATGAATCACTCCTCCGTTCCCTCTATTAGAGTCTCCTTCCACTAGCAAGGGAACCAAGAGACATGAACCAGAGTCTAGACATCAGTGGGAACAAGTTAAACCAAAATACATACAACCACCTGGGCAGCTTCCCTTTGCCAACAGCACATGGAAGATTCTGTGTGAGCATCTGACTCCTTCCTACTAGGTTTAAACATGATTAAGTTTTTTAAGAAGGCAAACAACAGCTACAACACCATCAGAACAGTCTTTTTAAAATGCAATCTCTTTCAAGGAAAAATCAAACTCGGTAGTTTTCCAGCTTAAAGACAACTCCTGATTCTGCCACAGTACTACGAGCCAAGTCCTCATTCTGAGGACAGCGCCAGGACAGCATAAAGATGCAAGTGGTAAAAAGGCAGAGCTTGAGCACAGAATTTTAGAATAATTAAAAAAACAAAAGGCAGGAAGGTGAAAGTACAAGAACAAGTCTGAAGCCATACCACACCACACAACTCCTATTTCCTTACAAATCACCACCACACAGCAGAGGTACAGACCTCTGATCTCACTGTACGTAATGTTTCTTACTTAACCAGACGTCTTCAGTGCTTGTTAGGAAATTCAAGCAATTGTACTAGCTGGGTTTGTATTAATTTACCAACTGACCCATCCTCAATCCAAGCCACGTTTTCACTCCAGGATGTTGCAGCCAGCAAGGCCAGAGAGGCCTTGCAGGAATTCCCACTAGTATCTAGTTTCAAGGGGCTCAAAAGTGGTCGCTTAAAAACTTCCACAGAAGAAAATCCGGCCTGTGGGTTGCTATCCCAGAAAGGGGCTGGGATTCAAGGGGGTAGAAGGAGCCTCCAACACGACTTGGGGTTTATTTAGCACATGGCAGACAGCCAGATAAATTCCAGGTCGATGTTAGTGAGGAGATGCTGCAGGATTTCCAGCGCAGACTGCAGTTTTACAATGTACCAGCCCTGTACCAGAAAAACTAGGCAAAGATTTCTTTCCCAGCTCCTGTTCCCATCTCCGTACTGCAATTTGTCACCCTCCTAGCACAACTCTGCTAAGCTGTCTTGTAAATAATGAGCAAGTAGCAGGGGACAGCAGGATTCCTCAACCTGGGTTTACCACAGTGGCCAGCAAACCACAGCTCCGCAGTCTCTAGCTCAGGACCGCGTAACACACTAAGCCCTAAACTAGGTTCTGGACCAATGTAAGTCTCCTATCCGTGTAGCAGATCCTATCATCTCCTTTACCAAGGAGGTGAGCAGAGACCCTCAACCACAGCCTGTGCCTGTTTACTCTGTACTCCCCAGCAGCCACCTCTGAGAACTGTCAAAAACCCCCCCAGATTATACCAAATTTGAAGATTTTTTTTTTTTTTTTTTTTTTTTTTTTAAGTCTTACAACAAAAAACAAGGAGTTGAGATAGAGCCTGTCTGAAATGTTATCACACGCAATCCCCTATTTTCTCCAGTACCTCCAGAGAAACTGTGCCCATACTTCTCTGGTCACAGCAATAGTCTTCAAAAGAGGGGTAGGAGGATGCTGAAGTGATGACAGCCACTCTCTCAAGCTCCTAACAAAGACTGTGCAATCAGTTGCTGAAACATATTAGGATCGATATACTAAATACCTACCTCTGTTACATTGAAACCTAGAAAGCTGGTGGACTTGCATTGCCCTCTGAAACATGTTAACAGGACATCCTGCTAGGTTTTGGTTGGTTGGTTGTTTTTTTTTTTCCTGTCCCCCTCCAGATTACTGCTATGCAATACACAGGTTACCTACTCCTGCCCCTGAAGCAGGCACAGCACAGCCTCTACAGCACCTGGGTAATGGGAGTAAACTCGGGCCATCAAATCCATGAACTACAAAGCCATTTACAAATCATGAATTTGGGATCACCCTCTCACACCACAGTGATTAAACACACCCACTCCTTAGATAGGAAAAGGAACAAATTTGCAAACTGATTTTCAGAAGTGCTGAGTTCCTACAAACCCCACTGAATGCAAAAATGTTCCAGGTGGACAACAATTAGGGGACTGGGTAGGGCAGTCAACAGCAATTCAAGTCTCTCAACAGGGCTATGCAGATCTGAGAATGAGCCCCGGGTATGACACAAAGCTCAAAACAAATCCCTAGGAAACCCTACCTAGAAGAGTCATTACTCAGAACATTAGTTCATCTTGGCTATGGACAAACATTTGGCTGCTGAGAAGTTTTCACTGCCTCCTTACAGGTACTTGAACACTTTCCCCAAATGTCACTTCCCTGCTCAGCACTCGTGGAAAAGCCACCCATCATCACCAGGTCAGAAGCAGCAGAGAAGCACTAAGGATCTCTGCCCTGAGCACAGCCCTTACAACACAAACACAACTGTAATGTTTATACCAACAGATTTCTAACCTTCACAGTTGCAAAGAATAACTCAAAAGACCTCAGGTAAACAAAACCACCAAGAGCATCAAGCTTTGGAGACAACACTTCAAGAGCTATCAGCTGTTAAATGCTTTATTAAGTTGGTGCTGATGTTCCCCAGCTGCCACCCCATCACCGGTGGGTTCCGTTGGAGTTGTCACCAGGCAACTTCACACACAAACTCCTCTGCTCTGGGGAGGAAGATCAGCAGTCCCTGTGACCAAGTCCAGGAGGAAGGAGGTCCTGATCCAAAAGCAAGGCTGACAAAGCCTGCAGCCTAGAAACAAGTTCTGCACATGGCCTTTACCCGGGCATGGGTCTTATTCCACCACTCAGCTTCAGGGACCTCCATAAACTGCTGCCAGTGGCACTGTACCATTATTTCAGACTCAACACCTCTGAGATAAATCCAGGGACATATGCAGTGCCCTTCTGAAGGGCTTATCACATAGCCAGCTCAGTGAGACCCTGAAACACTTCACTTCCTAAGCAAGCACTATCTGAACAGCTTGTGTACCCACTGTGTAAATATCTCCAAGACAAGACACCTCACATGTGTAGAGTTCATCGCTTCAAGGTGCTGTGCCACATAAATATTTCCCTTCTATTTGCAAGATAGGAGTGATTTCCTTCAGAATAATCTCATGGATGGACTGAGATTATTCTGATTTGCTGTAGTTTGACCAAATCAGCACTGAAAGACAGATGAGGACCCAAGACTTCCCAGGTGCCAGTCCTGTGCTTAGATCTTTATGTGGCACTGCAACCCAATACAGTTGTTTTACTAGAAACAGAACAGACACATTTCATTACCAGTTGTTTCTTTGTAACATCTCATAAATAAACACTAGAGGAAAAAAAAGCCACACTTATTAACACAAAAATCA